TTCTTGCTAAGGGACTGCACAGAAAGAATGTAGGAGGAGAGGGGATAACGAAAGGATAAGAGTATTGCCAATTTGTTTTTTGGATGAATGGATGGTAGTCTCACTGTTTTTGGATGGGCATACGATGGATCATATTTAATCTCATATGACATATTTCATAAAATATGTATTGTCATGAGGACAACAAAAGTCAACAGTCTTATCTCGGTGTTATTGCCACCATAGCTAAAAGGACCAATATGGACCTTTTAAGAAACTTTTAAAACACATACAAATGTATTTATCCTCATACCCCAATCTCATTACATTTGTATATTTCTAACATAATAACATACATTTGGGCCTTTTTACCTGTGTGGTGCATTTGGTAGGAGGTGACCCAGTGTGTCCTCTCCAAATTCTTCAGCATGTTACTTGTCCGCTCTGATATGGACAAATCCAAGGTACGAAGTTTAGGGTTGGGCAGCACTGTCTTTGGAGGAGTGGGGTAAAAAACCTGGTTCTCGCCCTTTAATGGCTTTGAATGCTAAAGGAGGGTACATTTAGAAAAAAGTAACAAAACAATTGTCTTTTGATGTATTGCACATTCTCAATGATAATGTGGAGCCACACAGTATTTCATTACTCACATCTAAGAAGCCGTGTTCTCCGGTCCACATTACAGCTTTCTTCGTGGTTCTTATGGGTGTCTCCAATATTTCATGTCTATATGAACTACCTGCACATTGGGATTAAGATATTTTAGACATAAAAATAACGATTATATCTTCTATTTTTACAACAACATGTTGCCCTCCTACCTATGGCTTTACTCAGGAGAGTGACCCCAGGCGCACTATTTGGCATGAGGGGGTTGAGGAAAGGTTGAGAAGCTGCTCTGACTCCTGTTTCGGGGTCATCCGGACAGCGATAGGATGGAAACATTGCAAACTTGGAGATGTGGGATGAATAGGGATGTGATTTTGGAATTGCTATCTTTATCATTTTCTCACTGTAAGGGGAAAAAGACAATTAAATAAAGATGAAGTGCATCAGTGTGAGGCAGACAAGATAGATAGAAGATATCAATCAGAAAGTACTCACGCCACATTTATATCTGTTGGTTTCGGTATGCTGAGAAAAGAAACAAAATCAATCACATCATTTTAGATTCAATATTCAAAGGTTTATTGTCATATACACTCCTACGGTGTAGTATGTAATGAATGAAAAACTTAGTCACAGTTTTCTCAACAAGGCAATTATCATTTTAAAAAAACGACAACCATACAAATAGTGCAACCTCTTTAAGTAGCCCTATGGCCTGTGGGATACAACTGTCTCTGAGTCTGGTGGTTTTAAAAACAATTCATAATATGATTGATGACTATATGTATGATTAATCATGGCTACTCACAGTTGGTCATTGAGGCGAACTTTACTTTTATTTCTGCCATTATTGTTATAACGTTGTCGACTGGTTGAGTGCCTGTGAAGGTAAAAGAACAATCTATAGGTTTCATTTGGTGAATTACATTTTAATTTCTATGCAAAATGTTTTTTACACTTACTCTGTTACTGCAGCTCCTCCATTACCAAAGTCATAACGGCCATTTAAATGAGTTGGGGAGGACTTGGGCTCCATCTGGCTGCTGGAGCTCTGACTCAGAGTAGAGGAGGCTGAAGGCACCATGTAACACTGGGGAGAATTAAATGATGGCAAAACAACTGAAAGTTAAGTCACATCTGTGGTCAAACCCTGCCTGTTGTTGTTTTGTAACAAGGGTTAGGGTTAGTATTAATTCAGAGCAATTTATCACGAATGTTAAACCTTTTCTGATGATTAAAATAACAATACCAATCAGAAGGAGACTAGATGTTTCCAACAATGTGTCCCTTAATGTAACACAACCAACCTGGCTCATACAATGAATGGTATGTTTCAACAGATGGGTACATATCAATCTAACACATTTTATATGATACAACTGCAAATATGTATGTTTTAGAGCTAAATAAAACTGTTTTAACAGATCGGCTCATTGTCACTTACCTTAGCAGTTGTATAGATGAAATCAATGACATATATTTATTTCCATTCTTTAGTGAATAGTTGAAGCATGGAAAAAGTATCCTCGTGGTACAGTTATGGGAAGGACTCGTGCTGGTCCAAATGGATTAAAGTAAAAAGCATTGCCGCTTTCTTTGACAGGACAGGACTCCCTCGTCTTCACTTGTGACCAGCGAGGTGGGGTTGGATTCCTGGGACAGCGGAAGTGATGGTGTTACAATAAACAATGGGGTCGCAGTGAGTGACGCCCAATCCAGCCCACATCACATTCTGTGTGAGCAGTAGGTTAAATAGCTTTTGGGAGACCAAAGAGTGAAATACGACACATTTTGTATGTTAAATAAAAGCTGTAACCCCTTGAAAATATGTTTAGTTCCCGTGGAGCAGTTGACTTGACTTGGTGTCATGATGTGCTTATGTCAATATTTTCATATCTAATTGGCAATCACTGCTCAGGATGCCCATCATTCATTCATCAAGTGTGGATCTGATAATATTACATATTCAGAGTTTGGTGAACTCATACAACTAAGCATGGTGTGGAATGGAAATCAAGCTGGGTCCGGCAGGCTGACACCGGATACAAGCTGTGTGCGGTGTGTGGTGTTTGGTTACAGGAGTCGCATTTCGTTGCCTTTATCCCATAATGCAACATAGAACAAGTTATACATTCAAACTGTATTCACTAGACAAAGCCAGAAAACTTGTTGCAAGAAAGTCTCTGGAACAATCTCAGAGATAATTTCTGGTTCATCCTGTTCTTATGTTGATTTAGACAATGTGTGCTCATTTTGTGGAACATCTTCTTCTAGGATTTAGTGGATGGATAGACAGCGCTGTCCATGGTGTTGTTACTCTGCCATGACTGTACTTGAATCAATTGGACTACATTATTACTCTAGAAACCACATACGATTGTAATGAATGTAAAAAATGACAAAAAAGTAACAAAATTGCAAATTGGTGTTCTCATTATTGGATAAAAAAGTTACAGTGAGTTCCTAAAAACCTTGTACGTCAGAAGATTACAATTCATCCTCAAACACTGTTAGTATGGTCAGACAGTGGAAAAAACGACTAAGTAATCTTATTTTAAATGCAATGTAGCTAGATCTTGATTGGTGCATACAAGCCCAGAAAGAAAGGCACAGAAAAAGATACCGAAATATATTTTGGCAAATCAAGAATTTCAGCAATATATAGTTTGTTTATACAGTATAGTAACACATTACTCAATGCAAAGGTGAAAAAACAAAACATTTTAGGGCCTTTAAAATAAGACAACACACCTGACCCCATTCTTTAAAACATCAGAAACCTGAAAACTGCACCCAAAAAACAGTTTTCAATCAGCACACAGGCAGAACTAACAGTATAATCAATGCAGCTGCCTCTCCTTGGACATGACAGACTGCTTTACAAGTTGCAAGGTTTGCTTTGTTTGTTGGCTTTTACAAGACCCATATTCTGCATTCTAATTTTAATTGGGATTCCCAGGAGACCTTGTCCAAAGTATCAGCAAAACACCCAAGTCCTATCAAGCAGCCTAAGCTAAGTCCAGTAACCAATTACCCTCCTCTGCCCCAGCGGAGCCACAGCTCTCCGGATTACATTCCCTTCTGCTGCATTATAAATGTGCCACAGCCTGCAGTGATTTCCCTATAAAATATACTTATTGTGCACATGTGGGTTGATGCGTACAGGGTTGTACACACCAACTGACCAACTTAATTTGTAGTTATTATATACAGTAACCTATGAAACACTCATCTATCTCTAGAGGAACAAACTGATTTAAACTGGTTTATTTTCACCGTTCATGTTAAAAAAAAAATGTTTAACCTACTAGTTTATAGTTAAAGCTAATAGAAAAACCTTGCTATGAACTCAAAATATTAGCTTTGGGCCCCAACTCCCCCTTGAAAATGCAACTGTTCACAAACCGCTCGCCCAGCCAAGTGTTGTGGTTTTAACCCTGAAGTAGTCGGATAAGGTTTGCTGAGTAACAATTGTTCTTTGTAACTTCATTTGAGAAAACTTCTCATGTAAGCATAAACTGGTTAAAGAGGTACAATATAAACTGTGTTAAAATTAGATTTTCATACAGGGCCTGTGCAGTCTTTATGCTGACAGTTCATTTTCAGTGCTTCACAAATATACACCACAACACTATTTTTATGATGGTTTTCTGATCTACCAGCAGCATGGCTGAGGTTTGGTTCAATGTCATCGACTAAAATCAGGGTATGGAAAGACGCACACTGTTAAAAGACACCAGCATTGACTATTACAGTGAAGTGGTCTTTGGTGTCAAGGTCTGATTCTTGGTTTGCCCACCTACACTGTGAGGGTCATGGGCCATGGGCATTTGCCTGCATAATCAAGCCTGTAAACAAATCCCACATTTCATTGTTTATAATGTGCATATTTTTCTTTGTTGAGTTAAGCTTTCTTTTTTTCAAACGAGCACACCATGCTATTACACACAAAAATAATACTGTGCCTTCCCTGCAAGGTTTAATGAAACATCAAATTCGTACTTGGTTGTGATTGGAGCCTAGTACAGAGTGTCTCTGGTGGTAAAGAATAAAGAGAGCGAGTGAACAGCCTGCCCTGCAGTTTTTAAGGAGAATATAGTGTTGTTTTTCTACAGCTCTGCATAGTATTCCTCAGAAACCTCCAGAGACACTGCTCATTCTCGACTTGACAGACAGCTGTAACATCGCTCATTGATCCGTTTTAAACTAAACTCAGTCTTTGATGTCCACTTTTTCTCTCAGTGTTAAGAGGACAATGGACTGTCTTATATGGGGGAATAGAAAATACATATTTTGAGGACATCACTTCTCTGAGAAGCTCGGCTGCATACGCACCACACCGTCATCAACTCGTCTAACTCTTGTTCTGTTGCATTTGAGTGTCTCATTTGGTCCTCACAGCAGCTTTCACCATGACAACATTTGACTTCTCGGATATTGAGGCTTTTTTGGACTGCCACCCAGATCTTTTCGAGGAGTATCTAGTCCGAAAGGCGAAATGTGACCAGGTGAGCAGATGGCTGAGAGAGCATCCTCCGTCGAAAGTGCCAACCACAGCGGAGGAGAAGCGCGGCGCTGCCCGGGACCCGCTGTGGCCGACCAACCCGGAGGGGCTCCGGCGCAGATCCTCCCACATGGAGCTGCGACGGAACTTCGCCCGGTCCAAAGCCACTACCGCACACCGGACCTATGACGAACATGTGAGCCAACACGAGTCCCAGTCCAGCATGAGGCGTCGTGCGCTCCTGCGTAAAGCCAGCTCTCTGCCTCCGACCACCGCGCACATCCTGAGCTCCCTGCTGGAGTCCCGGGTCAACGTGCCCCAGTACGCGTCCAGCGCCATCGACTACAAATACAGACTTAAGGAAACTAACGAGAGGGAGTTTTTCTTGGAGTTGGTGAAGGATATCTCCAATGACTTGGACCTGACAAACCTAAGTTACAAGATCCTGATCAATGTGTGCATCCTGGTGGATGCGGACAGGTGTTCGCTGTTCCTTGTGGAGGGACCCGCGCACAAGAGGACACTGGTGTCCAAATTATTTGATGTGCACTCTGGCACCACTGTCAGACCATCATCCAGCACCCTAAACTCCAATGAAGTGCAGGTGCCATGGGGAAAGGGTATTATTGGATATGTGGCAGAGCATGGAGAAACTGTGAACACCCCAAACGCATATGAGGTAAATAAATACCAGTATACCGAGACTAAAGTTGATGCAGATGTATTTACAGGTGCAGCCATTGATTAATGATGTAAGACTGGTGTTGAAATCAGAAGTTGTTCACCACTGGGAGTAAACATGAACACAAACAGTGGTGCCAACATTAAAAGTATCCACAAATACACAAAGAATGTAAGACATTTTAATTAGTTGTTTTTGAAGTGGAACTCTGTGAGTTGGTTAAAGGAAAGCTCAACTCAAAGGGGTCACTCAACCAGAATAAATGGAGAAAATACTAATTACCTCAATTAGGTCAGAATAGAAAAAACTCTCGATAACAGTCAAAGCAAAAGCAAGCATTATAATTCTTCCCACAAGCCAGATCATCTTAAAAGCCACCACATCATTATATCATAGCCCTGGGCTTCATGGTAAGGCAACATGATGATTCCCCTGAGGTCTAATACTGCAATAGTTCATATACTAATGTGTCAGGGATATCGTAAATATTCTGCTTTTAGTAAAAAGAACAGGAACGTGTTGTTCTGTAAATTGCCAAACAGTTTTCTTCTGGGCAGCTTTACAGTAGCCCACAAAGCCCAAAAATGTGAAGCAATGAATGCATTCAGGCTTTGTGTGTGTTAATGTAGGATCATGCATGTTTGATATAACCTTAAACCTTTTTTAATGTGATCACTGTTCCAGGACCACCGCTTCAGTGATGAGATAGACAAGCTAACAGGCTACAAGACTCAGTCCATCCTCTGTATGGCCATCTGTAACAGTGATGGGGAAGTCATAGGTGTTGTTCAAGCTATCAACAAAAATCCCATGGGCACTCCCTTTACCGAGGATGATGAGAAGGTGAGGCTTTATTATGTTGCCATGCTGCCAGGGGATTTTCACATCCACATACATTTTATTGGCCATTTAAAATCCTCAGTATTGTAGCTGGTTTGACCATTAAGGGCGTTTTAGAGACAGAGTTAAAATTGGATTTTTGAACACAACCACACACACACACAGACACACACTTATTGCACATAAGCTCTTGAGCCATGCAGCTTAAAGCAGTGTTTTTACAGTGAATCTTCTTAATGGCTGTGGAGATGGGCAAAGTGTTCCCTCTGAAGCAAAACACCAGAAATATTAACGAAGGAGGTCAACCTTTTACTCGATTTGCAGCGTTTATTATAACCGGCTGCACAATATCTACGCACACTCAGGAAACACATTTTAAGGGGTTACACTTTCAATTGCTCCCTGAGCAGTCCACTTGGAATTAGTTTACTACAAATTGCCTGTATTACATTTTTTTCACAGCTTATATATGCAATCCCATTGTTCTAGTTTTTACTTGAAAAGGCTGGTTACTTGTTTCGGTGTGGTAAAAGAAAGTAAAGCTGAGTTACCGTGCCGTGGTGCCCTTGAGCAAGGCACCGAACAACCCCTCACCCCCCCCACTCCCATTGCTCCCCGGGCGCTGTACAATAGCTGCCCACTGCTCCTAGTACTAGACTCCTGGTACTAGGATGGGTTAAATGCAGAGGCCAAATGTCACTGTGTGTGCTGTGTGCTCTGCATGTGTGACCATTAAAAGAGGGTTTCATCCCTCCCATTCTATCTACTGTGGGTAAAGACGTGGAGATGCTGGGGCAGTCAATCTCTGTAGTCAACAGGTAGTTTATGTTTACTCACCAAAAGATCTGCTGCACTGACATTCATCTGCTTGTCCACAAGGTGGCAGAGTAAAGTTGTAGAAAACATTGTTTTCTCCTGACATTTTCTGTCTGGCCTCCTCTTAAAAGATATCAACTTTAAACAGCATTTTGAGTTTGCAGTATGTAAGGTTTAGAAAAGCCAAAATGTTTCCGTATAGCTAATTAAAAGCACCTTCAGTCATTGCTCCTGACCAACAAAGATAATGAGTAGGAAAAAATACATCTTGATCCGTCAGCTTACCACAACATTTTAGCACCCTTGATGTCTCACTAAATGCCTTCTTTCTTCAAATCAATACTTCATTAACAGGAAATCTATTTGTAGAGAAATGTGTGCAAAGAAGCAGATAACTCCATCACCACCTTCTATCCTCATTCACTCTTTATTTTTCTCTTACCCAGTTTCATGCATTTTTGTTTATCACACGAATAGCTAACATCGTTATTGATTATGGATGTTTCTCACAACGTTCTTTTGGTACTCTAACCCAGGTACTGCAGATGTATCTACCATTCTGTGGAATATCGATTTCCAATGCCAAGTTGTTTTCGGAGTCTCGCAAGGAGTATGAAAGGAGTAGGGTAAGAGAATATTAAATGTGCATTTACAAAAAAGATGTTTGGTTGTTTTGTAGCCACTGGAGTATCAACAGTATAATTAAAATGGTTATGCTTAGTCATAGTCATTGGTAATAACTCTAATACAAATGTGACGACTGAAGGTAATTTATATAGTGGCTAACAAACTTATTGTGCATCCTTTGACAGCCTGACCTTATATTGTGAATATGTTAACACTGTGTATCGAACAGCAGTCATCAGTCCTTTCTCCTTACTACAGGCTCTGCTGGAGGTGGTCAATGACCTGTTTGAGGAGCAGACTGACCTGGAGAAGATCGTAAGGAAGATCATGCAGCGAGCGCTGACCCTGCTGCAGTGTGAACGCTGCTCTGTGCTCCTCCTCGAAGACATTGATTCACCCGTGAGGCTCTTTATCGGCTTTTAAGTTTGCCCTGTCTAACAGATACATTTTCTTCAAACCATGTAGCTCTTCTCATGCAGGATTCCCTTTTTTGTTTCTACATGTTGTTGGTTGTGCTGATTAATGTATTTTCTATAGGTTGTGAAGTTCTCCAAGACGTTTGAGCTCATGTCTCCCCTGTGCAACATCGACCGGGAAATCAGGTAAAAGAGACTTTTAGGGGTACTATAGCGAGATTCCAAAACAACAACACATACCATAAACAGACACATATGGATGTCCTCTCATACAAATCCATAACAAGAAACCAACATAAATAATGAAGTTAGTCAATATTAACTGCAGTTGTGTTGCCAGTTAAGTGCAGAGAACTGACTTTTGTTTTCCTGTTTGTTTTATTGGCCACATCAGCATGGAGAAGCTATCGTGTTCTGATTGGCTGATCAATAACAGCATTGCTGAGCTGGTGGCTTCCACAGGACTACCGGTTAACATCAGCGATGTGTGTCAGGACCCGCGCTTTGATGCAGAGGTGTGCACACAAAAGTCTCTTTACAAAACCTATTAGAGTTGCACATGTAACTGCAGCAAGTAGACAAAGACACACACCATAAACACCAACACATTTAAATGTATGTGTTATTTTACTTTTTTTACTCGAAGAAACAATATGGGCCTGGGCAGGTATTCATATATATATTTCTCAAACAAACATAAAGTCAATTTTCACTGTGTCCTCTCTTTACAGGCGGACCAGGCCTCAGGGTGTCACATCAGATCAGTGTTATGCGTCCCTATCTGGAATCGGACCCATCAGATCATTGGTTAATCGACCGGAAATAATCAAATGTTCCTCACTGGAAAATCAGTTGTTGTTTTTACAGTCAATGTATTTGTGTGTGTTTTTGTGACTCTGTTTTCTGCAGGGGTTGCACAAATTCTGAATCGCTTAGACAGGAAGACGTTCAACGATGCAGATCAGAGACTGTTTGAGGTTTGCTTTTAATAACTCTACAGCTGCTCCATTACAACTTTGTTTAAAAATTGCATTAGATATTACATAATGCCAACATCTTATGTTTCCTTTTATGTTTGTTTTTTTCCTGTATTTGTGTACAGGCATTTGTGATTTTCTGTGGACTTGGAATCAACAACACTATGATGTACAATCAGGTTAAGAAGACGTGGGCCAAGCAGTCTGTAGCACTGGATGTAAGCACTGTAACATCTTGATTGTTTTACTTTAAAGTGGACCTATCATGCTATATTTGAATAATATAGTGTAGGACCATACCTATATAAGGCATATACTTTTTTTTTTCAAAATACCAAACAGATCATGCATTTTAGCCATGCCTCATTTTGCTCAATTTGACATTTTTTAGCTCTGTTTTTGCAAGGGCAGATTCAGTGAGAACAGCACCATCTACAGGCCTGGCATATGTACTACAGCGTCTCCAGCGCTTTTGAACGGCAATGGCCGTGGCTGTCTCCTCCTGATTGGTGGAGTTGGCCCAATAGCCGTAGCGCCACTGTCCTGACGTCAGGACAGTGTTCAAATCTGGATCAGTTTTGATCAGATCCGTTGCAGCCCCTTTTTTAGAGATTTGGGTATGGAGGAAAATAGAGAGGGTTGTGTTTTCTGACACTTGGTGAGTTCCCTGGAACACCGGGGACACATATTCATGTATAAAAGACGTACAAAAGTGCATTTTGCATGATAGGTCCCCTTTAAATCAAATCATCAGCCCACCATTTTGGATTTATGAGATATGTTTTTTACATGTGTTTGTATGTTTGACTTTTTCTCATTTCACAATGACTGTGATGTGATGTACCCACATTTAAAAAGTGTGTTAAAGAGTGGCTAAACAAATCCTGTTAAGCCCCGAGCCTGTTTTTCAGGTTTCAGGCTCGAAAATGACATGCCCAAAACAAATGACTACAACTTAACTTCTAAAAGGGTTATATGAATAATTTCTTTTATCAAAGCAAGGTTACATCTGTGAGTTGGATGTAGAAGTGTCAGAATCAATATAGATTTTTCTCAGTCAGAGTAAATTCAGATGGAACATAGCAAAAAAAGGTAAATTCTTACCTCCGCCTAAAGAAAAAACATTACTTATAGTGAAAACCACCCTTGAATGATGGGATGGTAGACTAAAAGCTTTAGGAATCCAAACTATAACATATAATAAGTACCCTGTATCAAGATTGAGGCAAAACAAGTTAAATTTGACCTTTTTAGAGAGGTTTAGCAAAAAAAAGTTCCAGGCGGAATAAGCTTTCGGCACTTTCTGGTTCCATCAGTGCCATTTGACCTTTTTCAGGTACCAGCCTATAAAAATGGTGTATTACATTGAATTATCACCATAGGTATTCATTCCATCCAAAGAAAAAAAAGTTAAAAGAAAAAAAAAAAGAAAAGAAAAAAGGACCCGCCGACGGGGTCTTTGGGGCTTAACAGGTTAAAATACATGACAGGCATGTGTTTTATACCAGTATTTAAAATACATTACATTAAACATAAGCTGTATATATCAGATACCGCTAATACAATATATACATATACACTTCATGCATAATGAAGTTTAACAGTCACTGAGGCTACTGATGAATGTTATACAGGCTCTGATTTGCTATCCATCATAATATGCAACAAGCTGCATTTTCCTCGACTAATATATGTATCAATTTTGTTAAACTAAAAATAACATCCATTTAAAATGAGTGTATGGGCAAATGGTAAATGAGGAGAGTGATGTCACTGAATATTTTATAAGAGAGGCTCTTAGCAATCATTAGCATCACCATCAGTGTTCTGCTCCATTGCCCGATATCTAACCTGAGCAGTCACATTATCCTCAGCAAACACGGCTCTGCTTCTCACCATAAATATTTCAGCTGCCTTCAATAATTCATTATAAATACATGTGCCAGTCTGCTCACCTGTCATCAAAGGCAACACATACTCCGCCTGTATTTCTGCCACATAATCTCTGCTGTCTCTTTAAACACCTCGTGTATTTTCTTTTTCCTCGCAGGAGACATCAAGTGCAGCTACGCATTGGTTTTAAAAGCACAGTTATACTCCTGTTTGATCGTGATCACATGACAAGTAATAGGAAAGATTGCTGGCCTTGTAATTCTTGCAACATATTTATTATCTCTAATTCAATTTAGGATTTTCACCTCAATAGCATAACATTAGCAAACTAAAAAAACTGAAATATTGACTTTAATTAAATTTATTATGTCAACAAATTTCACATAACTGTATTAGGTTAGTTGGAAGCAATACAATCACGTTTGAATTCAACTTTAGGTCAAACTTAATATTATTGCTTTCACCTAACCTAATACATTTATGGGAAATTTGTTGACATAATACATTTAATTAAAATCAACGTTTCAGTTATTTTAGTGCATCATACTACATTTCCTTAGTCTAACTTTTTTGCACAAATGTATATCTTTCAGATGTTGTCCTACCATGCTACCTGTTCTAAGGTAGAAGTTGACAGACTCAAGGTAATCTCAAAGATAACAACATTCATACATTATAATAAAACTAACTTTCTGAAAGCTGATGACAATGCTATTCAGTGTTATATGCTCCCTCCCTTGCTGTGTGATTGACAGCTCTGTCCTCTGTCCCCCTAAGGCAGCTAAGATCCCCCTGAGCAGTGAGTTGGGCATCGATGAGTTCCACTTCAACGACTTCTCTTTGGACAATGACGCCATGATCACCGCGTCACTCCGGATGTTTCTGGAACTCGGTGTTGTGCAAAAGTTTAAAATTGACTATGAGGTGAGGCCCTGCAATGTGTCCTGTGAGAGTCTACATTTGATATGTTTGTTTATCACCTGCATGTCTGTTTTTCTTGTAGGTTTTGTGCCGCTGGCTTTTGACTGTGAGGAAGAACTATCGAACTGTGGCGTATCACAACTGGAGGCATGCCTTCAATGTGTCGCAGTGCATGTTTGTTATGATCACAGTAAGTTTCGAGATATAAAAAAATATTTCTCTTCCCGCACTGCCCCCTTTAAACTCTCTAACCTGACAGTTACGAGTTGTTCAGTTTATTTTTTAGTCTCGGCAGACTTATCAACAATCAGTCGCCAAAGAAAAATTCATTAGGAGGAAACAACACAGGAGAAACATAATTTAAAGGTCTCCTATTATGCTATTTTTAGGCATATATTATGAGTCTTAGATATATAAAAATATATAAAAACATGTCTATGATGTGTTTTGCTCAAAGTACCAAACAGATCATGCATTTTAGACATCCCTCATATCCCTCTGTTTTAGCCCCGTTAGAGAATGGCTGTTAGAAATATTGGGGCCTTAGCTTGAAAAAGGAGGGGGAGCTAACGCCTGCTCAGAATTCTACCGGCAGATACAGTGGCCGTTTTTCAATGTCGAGTAGAGCTGCTGCAGAGCCACTATTTCAAGTACACTACGTCATCGAGTGGCGCCGAAGGACTGTTTAGATGCATGTTAAATGCCCAGCATTCGGCGCCACTCGATGACGTAGTATACTTAAAATAGTGGCTCTGCAGCAGGTATACTCGACATTGAGAAATGGCCAGCTAAATTCTGCCGTGATTAAACGCCATCATGTTCCAAACCACATCAAGGATTATTTCTGAAACAGTATGGAGCTCAAATGCTTTTTCTCTTGCGGGTTTACCACAAGGTGAGTTCCTTTTTTTAGTTCAATCAGGAGAGACTTCATTTTGTTTAAAGAACATTTATTGACACATGCCATATGATAAATGTTAAGTCTTTGGCGATTAGACCCCGATCCTGAAATCGTATATCTAAAGGGGGAAATGCAGCCGTGAGCATATAGGGAACCCCCCCGGGGTCTAGACACTGGTGATGATGCTGAAGATCTGGATTTGATGAGGAGATGGGATGAAGAGGGGATGTGATGAGGTCTTTGGATTAGATCTCTTGGCACTGGATATGTTGAGAGGAGGTGGATGGGGAGGAGGCGGGCGGCAGCATGAACGCCTGAAATCACAGCTGACTGCAGGAGAGAGGAGGACCATTTTAAAGTTTGGCTGCAGCACGATGATTGGCTGCTGAGATTGAGGTGAATGTAATAGGTTAACAGAAAGCCCGTGATGAGCTGATTATAAGTAGCTGCAGAGTGAATGCATACCAGTCTTCCTGAAAGAACTTACGCTGAGCTTCATTTCCTGCTTTTTTATACATACTCTCTCCAGTACAGGTTAGCTCTGAGTGTTAGCAGTGCTTGCTAATGGAAACAAAGACCATATTATGTCCAAAACACGTCAGGCATTGTTTCTGATAGCAACTTTCTGATAGTGCCGTGGGTCCTCATTTCCGATATGACGTAGATGCAAATCTGGATCAGCTCCGTTGTTCCCCCGTTTTTAGAGATTTGGGTACAGAGGAAAAGAGAGAGGGTTTTGTTTTCTGACACTTTGTGAGTTCCCTGACACACCAGGGACACATATGAATGTATAAAAGACATCAAAACGTGCATTTTGCATTATAGGTCCCCTTTAAAGAATTCAAAGGAGGAATATTTGGGTTAAGTCTCAAAGAGAATGATCAACTTGACTGATGTGGTGTGCTAAAAACTCCCAAACTTAATCAAATAATCAAATGTAACTCCAGAAATGTTCTGTCATGTCCTTTTCTATTGAACATAGAAATGAACGCTAAGTGGATAAGAATTTGCCATTCTGCTTTACTTTGTGCAGACAGCCAGTTTCCGGGACGTCCTGTCGGAGGCTGAGATACTGGCCCTGATGGTCGGCTGCCTGTGTCATGACTTGGACCACCGAGGCACCAACAATGCATTTCAAGCCAAGTAAGTGAGGCAGGCCTACAGTATGACGACAGACAGTCTGCAGAAAGCTTCACCGCTCTGTTCTGACCCACAGGACCGGCTCAGCTCTGGCTCTGCTCTACGGCACGTCAGCCACCCTGGAGCATCATCACTTCAACCATGCAGTCATGATCCTACAAAGTGAGGTCAGAACAGTACTTCTCATAACGCTCAAGTAATTCAGAGGTTTAGTTATTGGACCTGTAGTATTTTGGATCCTGTAGTATTTGTGACTTTTTATTTTAATTATCCAGAATATTTTTCATTTTCTTTTTAATTGTTAATTCTCTTTTCCACTTTTTAAAGTATTTAAAGTATTGTATTTTAATGTCTGAACTCACTTCTGCTTCTGTGACGAACGCAATCAATTATCTATCTATCTATTGGCTGCGAGTGTTTAACTAACTTGGATTCGCCAATGAATTGGATCCTTTTTACCATAAGAAAAGCACTTAATACGTTGTTGATGCTACAAAAAGCTCATGGTGTTATGGTTCATTTGCTTAAATGTGTACAATAATGGCCACAGTGCAACAATCACACCTGTCAACCCTTGCAACGCCTGTCTTTTCAAATACACCTGATTAAACTAAAAACAAAACCAAAACAAAAGTTCAATGTATACTAGCAGAATACAACAAAACGCTATTAAAAGGAACCTCATCATCAATGCCTACATATGCGATCCCTCTTTGTAAACAGTCTCAAGATTCGTAGGCGGCAGCAGTGACCACCATTGACGTTGTGAGACTGCTTCGATCCGTTTGATCATCTGGAAATGTTCTCTCTATTGATTTCTGAAACAGAGGACAGGGAAAGTCTATACACACTGCTAATTAACGTGATAATGAGAACTGCGTTTGACAGTGAGCAATGACTTTACCAATGCACTGGCTGCTTAAGGAGACATTGTAGCAACTATTACTCATCCTTGTCTGCTTTTGTGTATCTGCCCTAATGTATGCTATTGTATTTTGTCTCCTCACAGGGTCACAATATCTTTGCAAACCTCTGCTCTAAGGAGTACAGCAACATGATGCAACTATTGAAGCAGGCGATTCTCTCCACAGACCTTACTTTGCACTTTGAGTGAGTGGTCTTTTTTTTTTCTTTTTTTTTTTTGACAAATATTTGTATTGGTATTTCGTTTTTTCAGCATAAGACATTGCACAAGTATATATCCCAAAAATAAAAATAAAAAACATAATCCAAGAAAATACAAGAAAGAAAGAAAAAAAAGAAAAAGAAAGAAATATATACACATATAGAGTGGTCTTTTTAATTAATTCAGAGCCGAGGTACTTGGTGGTTATATAATAACACTGAAATAGATGTATGCATATTATTGTTACATTTCCAAAATAAGGATTAACATTTAGATGTTTGTGTTTTTACAGAGTGCTCTTGTGGTGAAAACTGTCTTTATTCTTTTTTGCATTTTAATACTTTCTGTATCCTTGTCTGTCTCGTTGCATTGTAAGGCGCAGGAACAAGTTCTTTGAGTGTGTTCTCTCTGGAGAATTCAGCTGGACAGATGAAGGACACAGAGAAGTTATCAGGTTTCTACCTTTGTGCTAAATACAACTTTCCTGTGCCAACATCACTTTAAGTGAAAACAAATAGGTAGAACAAAGCTTTGTTGTCATTGTCAGGTCCATGATGATGACAGGATGTGATCTGGGCGCAGTCACTCGTCCTTGGAAGATATCCAAACAGGTTTGATGCTTTCCACATCATGCTTTCATGTGTTAGTGCTTGGAGATGTACAATTTAAGTTGGAATTTGTTTTTTAAAAAGGACCTGTTCTTCCCTTTACAAATTAACATAATGTGCATATTCTACCTGAAATTCAAGTAAAGCATATTGAGTACAAAACAAATCCAATGCAGGCATCCACTAGCTTAGAGGCCATGAATCCAAATGTACATAATGTTTGAGTTAAATGATAATGTGTGGAATTATTTGCCAAGGTTGCAGAGCTGGTGACGAGTGAGTTCTTTGAACAAGGTGACAGAGAGAGGTCAGAGCTGAAGTTGACCCCAGCAGTAAGTATGCACACTTTCCAGCTATTTCTTTCACTAGGATCTTTTTCACACAGATTTCTATGTCATAGAGAGTTGGCAGCATACACTCCAACCATGATGTATTAGAGTGATATTTAAAAAATAATAATTACGATGAATGTTTCGTAAGTAAATGACAAAGATTATCTCCTCTCTGTAGGCCATATTTGACCGCAATCGCAAAGATGAATTGCCTGCCTTACAGCTAGAGTGGATAGATGGGATATGTAGACCCCTTTACCAGGTAACTGTTATGTATAAAGTTAAACTTTAACCGTTGATGTCGATACAAAAATTATAGGCACTATTTGTGAGTTTTAATATTAATGGTACTCCTTTGTTTCGCTCCCAGGCAATGCTGAAGCTCAACAGGAAGTTACAGCCAATGGTCGATGAGATAGATGCCAATCGCAACAAATGGCAGGAGCTGTGCTCGTCCGACCAGGAGCCACGCAGAGCCTCAGTGACTGATCTGAGTCCTCCTGAGCCCCAGGAACAACCCGACTCCACAGAGAAGTGTGGGTCAAAGTCTGAGGGCAGTCAGGATCTGAGGTGCAGAGTGAGCAACGGTTCCTGTGACGATGGCAACAAGACTTCTGCAGGAAATAAGTAAAGCGCACCTAGTGTTACTTATAGGTTTATCCATTCAAAAGCTCACATGGGACTCATCCAGTACTCTGTGATATTTTAGCACATGCATTACCCTCAATTATTTTTTAAATCTGGGTTGATGAAATGCAGTTGTCATCTGCTGAGCACATTGCACAACATATACATTCAAAGGGCAGTTTGCCTATCTATCTATCTATCTATCTATCCGTCTAGCCATCGATCTATTTTTCTATCTATCTATCCATCTATATATCTATCTGTCTATCAGCTTTTCATTATTGAGATGTATGAGAAGAAGAAGAGACTGCTGTGAAACCAAAGAGGGCCACTTATTACTGTAATTCTTTGTTATGGGAAATGCCTAAACATCTGAATCCCACTGGAACAGTGTAACAAAACGAAAAAGGAATCACTGTGATTTCTCTTACATGAAAACACAAATTGCCATTATGAATGTAGACCGGAGCATGATGATGTTCCTGAATGTTTCTTACTGTCTTACCTCATTTGCAAATATTTTGCTGCATGGCACTTTTTTTATGTTCTTAGGTTAACTGGTCCTTCTGCGATCCAATTGTTTTGTGAATTGCATGAGTGTAATATGAAAACATTTTTTTTTTATCAGTGGGTAAGGAATTAGTAAAATGAAGTTGAAAGGCCAAATGTTAGTGTATTGGTTGTGTACTGATACAATCTAAATCCTCAGGCTGATTGTTTGTATGAGACCTCATAATCCCTTAAAAAAATATGACACAGATTAATACAAATGTTGTTTTAATTAACTTTCAGTGAAGAAATTATTTAGCTTTTTGGAAATGTAAATTATTTATATGGAACCACTGAAAGGCAAGTGAGAAAAATAATCTGGTGATCCATCATTTCGGTCTGATCTAAATCCTCAACAACGATTAAGGTACATTCCTAGTTTACAGAAATACATGAAAGTACTCATACATAACTTATTACACAATACAAATGCTTTTTGTTTAAAGTACATGAAACAATTACTGCAAAACCCGCCTGGAAGAAAGCGTGGAGCATTTCTGCCTCTTGTGGCCAACATGAGTACTACAACAACATATAAAGAATCCTGGCAAAAACTGCCATAACTTGTTTAACTGTTGAACAAATATCCATCACAGAAATATACTCCAAGCAAAACTTTCACTATCTGTTTTCAAATAGATACAAAATAAATAATTAATGAACTTAGAAAGATTATCCTTTTTTTCACATGAGAAAACTTTTAAATCTGGCTCAGAAAATGGATCACCAGATTTGTTTTCCTCACTTGCCTTTCAGGGCTTTCATAAATGATATTATTTTTTAGACAAACACCAGCCTGTATGTCTGTGCAGCCTTATCTTTATTTTTGTTCACAAGGTCCCACATGTAACTGTAATTGTTTTTTTATGCGAATGAGTACAATTTGTCTCAGTAAACCCTTTAGGATGTCACTGATGACTCCACACATAAATGCTTGCTAAGCCAAGTGTGGCACATGTTTTTGTCACATATGTATGTATGTCCTAACACTGAGCTATGCTTTAGACACCTACAGCAGTACAAACAGGATGTAAAAATGCCAAAATATATATTTTAAGGAAGTTTAAGCAGAATGTGAGTTCATGTAACCATTGGTTTCTTTTGATTCATCACAATGTTTTGTAGTTCTTGACTTGGCAGCATGTCAAATATGTTGAAACTGCATGTTTTATGTTTGATGTTGATACTGAACATTATCTTGATGCCTTTGACTGCCCTAAGAGATTTGCTTTGCATGAAATTACTGTAAGAAATATACTTAGTGTTGTGAAGTAGGAATATTGTCGCTGCACTATTGTTGAGAACAGATACAGATTTCTATTTTCGATCACAGACTGTACTGAAATTATACATTCATAATTTTTTTTACATCTGACTATATTTATGCAAAATTGGCCTTTTTCTCCTGCTATTTATAAAAACGTCCACTAAAAAGATATAATTAGAGGAGACAAAAAGTTGCTACACTTCAGATGAATCAATCTCCTGCTGGTTTTGTGAATAAAATGCTGTGGCATGAAAACTGACATTTTGTTGTATTTCTTTTTTTGTATACATTTATGGATAATCCCTATTAATCTTAATGTAATTGCAGACAGTACATCATCCTTAATTTACCCAAGAAACTGTGACACTAACAAATAAGTGAGGCAAGCAGAATTTGAATTGGTCCCTAAAATGTTGTCAAGATACTGTTAGAGTCGCAGCGGTATTGATAAAACACAGACGATATAAGAATGAATATGACCAAAGAGAAAGGAACATTTAATGGTGAGTATTATATGTGAGACCTACTAAGGTAAACTACACATTTAGGCTTTCAAATATATGGAGCAACACAGTAACATGTTGGATTCAAACAGTACTTTACCCGATCCAGCAAAAAAGAGGAGCTGTGCCTGGGAGACTGAACTTCATGAATTTGTATCAAAGTGACAGAGACAAACCCCATGAATAAAGAACCAAAGATATGATTAAACCTGATGCACTGAATGATGTAGGGAGGAACGTCTGTGATAGATCAGATGTCAACATGCTCAATGTTAGATGATTTGGCTGTTTGTCATTGCTCATTAGGCTTCTCAAAATGAACATATCTAAATAAAATATATGCACATAGTTCTACTTCCAGATCAGCACCTCATCACAATCCTTGGTGTGCATTAAAATTGTATTTTATATTATATATATATATACTTTGCTTGGGTAAAAATTTATTTTAAGTGTGCTAACCAGTACTTGAGTACGATACTCTTTTGTACACGCTACAGTCTTTAAATTACAGTTGTGAAAGGCTTAATTTCAACTAATAGATCTTTGTTTTGCTATTTCAAATAAAGGTCAGTATAATTAAACCTGGAGCAGACTGAGAAGGACTTTGCTTTTATTCAATGTAATAATGGTTTACTGATACACATGCTCATATGTAAATAAGGGAGGACTGGCACTTTTTAACCCCAACTTCAAGCACTCACATAGAGAGCACGCTCGTGAACTGTTAGCACGGGGAAACTGTGGCCCTCTGTCGCCTGTCAGCGCAACTTAAATGATGACGTTTAAAAAAAATGTTTTTTAGAAAGGCCCGGGCCGGCCGGACAATCTGTGATTCTCCAGAACACACAGATGGCCAGTCCGCCCCTGGACTCAACAGGAATAATCCAAGGGTAGTCACCCTGGTGTCTCGGAACCTCTACTGGTGTTGGTCGCAAACTGTGGGAGAGACTCAGTCCGCTCTTAAGCACTGCAAGGTGACATTATGTAGCGCTATGTTGATGCAAGCCCCTGTGGTACTAAGGATTCCCTTGACTGGCTAACAGCAGCTTTGGAAATGAAGGGAGGCCAGTCGGCAATGCTACCAGGAAACAGGAAGTCTGCGTGCCAGTCCGCCTCAGAGATCACTTCAGACTTCCAGTGGTCCGAAGTGGGATAGTACGGAAAGATACTCACAACAAACTCCTGAAGTGGTAGCAAATCTGACCTTAATATGGATTTCAATTAGACTTTTACTTCTACTACCACTCTTAATTGGCCTAATAGTTGTGCCTAATAGTTGTGAAGTCACGTTGTTTTTATTTTTACAACGATTTGTTTATGAGTTATTGATCCTCCAAATTTGAAGCTTTCAATATATTTCTAACTTTACCGAACTGAGCACAACAATATCTTTCTCTTCCAGAGTGCTCCAAAATCATGCTTGCTTAAAGCTACAGTATAGCAAATTACTTCGACTTGCTGGTGGTCGGCTTTAATCATAATAATGAGACAGTAATTCATAATAATCATTTATAAGTCGAAAAAATTAGATAGTAAGTTGAAATAATCAGATACTAAGTCATAATAATGAGATTGTAAGTCATAATAATGAGATTGTAAATCGAAATTATGAGATAGTAAGTCATAATAATGAGATAGTAAGTCATACTAATGAGATAGTAAGTCATAATAATGAGATAGTAAATCATTATATTGAGATAGTAAGTCATAATGAGATGATAGGTCAAAATAATGAGATAGGTCAAAACAATGAAATAGTGAGATAGTAAGCAGAAATAATTAGATAATCAGTCATAATAATGAGATAGTAAGTCATTATAATGAGATAGTAGGTCGAAATAATGAGATAGTAAGCAGAAATAATGAGATAGTCAGTCATAATAATGAGATAGTAAGTCATAATATTGAGATAAGTAAGTCATAATTATGACTTACAGGATTTATTTTAGATTTTGTCTGTGGCGCAAACAGGCTTCCATACATAAGTACCCGACGTTACAGCACAAGTTAGCTCTGTTCACTTAATGTAGCTGTGGTGGGAGTTTGTCATTGTTTTAGTGTCACTGCTGCTTAATACTTAAATAGAAATGTTCTATCTATATGGTAATTTCTGTATGCTGTTTTTTTTTTTAATCTCTGTTGTGTTACAGCTTTACAAAAACAAAACTCCCACCTCTTCCTTCAGTGTCTCTGTGTAGCTGCTCAGAGTAGAGTTGGAGAGACGTCTACTGGTGAAATGTAGTAACACAGATTATATACTGCAAAAAGGCAGGTGCATCGTGGAAGATTGTTTAAGAACATTTGATAAAAGAGATCAATATTAACCAATTCAAGCAATACATTTTAAAAAGGCCTTATATTGTATGTTCTGTTCTTTCATATTTTCCATCTTACTTCATTCAGTTTTGTAATACAAACCAGATTATCAGGTTTTAAAGAGCTGGTAGCAAACAGCATGCATGAGATGATTTATATGTCTGCCTTAAAAACATTTTTCTAAAACATAATATTTGATTCGATACTCATTAATGTTGAAATATACTCAAAGTAGTGGAATTGAGCTTTTTATTTTTAATTGCACAAATAAATAATTAAAGTATTCAAACAGATTGTGATTGTGAAATATAGAAATACAGAAAATATATATAAAAACTCTAAGCAAAAGTCACTGCAGCAAAACCAATATAATCCGTGCTGTATCTGCAGTATTGTTTCATTTAATGTTCTGGCACCAGCTAGAATCCGAACCATGCTGATTGTGTAGACCGTGAGACAGCAGCAGCCATGTAAGCCCGGATAAGTTGAATCTACTTAAAAAAATAGAGGAAAGTGGTTGCCTTTAAAAATGTAAGTAAAGCATTATGAAAACTTGAGTCAATTAAACTTACATTTATCAAGGACTTGAATTGTTATTTGAAGTACAATCCACTTCATGTCAAGTTGATTTTACTTACATTTTTAAGTCAACCACTTTCTATTTTTTAAGTAACGCATTAGGAAAACTTGAGTGAATTTAACTTAAATTATTCAAGGACTGGAAGTACAATGCACTTCATGTGAAGTTGATTTTACTTAAAATATTGTGTAATATCAATTGCTTTGCCCAATTATTTAACTTATCATTTTTAGTTGAAAGTGGTTACATTTCGTATTTATATTTTTTATTCCGTCAACTACAAAAAAGAAAAAGACACAAAAATAAAGTTTTACCTTTTATTAAAACTTGAGTGTTTCATTTGGATACAATGAAATTGAGCTTCCTATACAAACTGTGGCAAAAATATTGTACCATACATTTTCCTGAGAACATCTTTCACATGAAACATGAAAGTATAGCAATCTTTCTATATATAAAGATATATAGATCTATATATTTATGTAGAGCTCTGAAAAAATTAAGAGACCTCTGTAAAATGATCAGTTTCTCTCGTTTTACTATTGGTAAAAACTGGATTAACATTTGTGTTTTATTCTATAAATTAATGACTGACAACATTTATCCCAAACTCCAAATATTCTCATTTAGAGCATTTATTTACAAAAAATACCAAATGTTCAAAGTAATCAAAAAAGATGGAGTGTTTTCAGACCTCGAATAGTGCAAAGAAAACAATTTAAAATTCATTTTTCAACAACACAATACTAATGGTTTTAACATAGGAAGAGCTCAGGAATCAATAATTGGTGGAATAACCCAGATTTTCAATCACAGCTTTCATGCGTCTTGGCTGCTCTGCACCACCTTTCACATTGCTGTTGGGTCACTTATTAAGCCACTCCTGGCACAAAAACTCAAGCAGCTCGGCTTTGTGTGATGGCTTGTGACCATTCATATTCCTCTGGATCACATCTGGATTGACCTGGCTGTGGGGCATGGAGCATTGTCCTGCTGGATAAACCCACCCTCAGCTTAATTCAGGTGTGAATGGAGGAAGACCAGATCAAGACCCTGTCATGGAACAGTTGGAACCCCACTGAAAACCTCTGGATGTGATCCAGAGGAAGATGGATGGTCACAAGCCATCAAAGAAAGCTGAGCTGCTTTAGTTTGTGTGCCAGGAGAGACATAAAGTCACCCAGCAACAATGTGACAGACTGGTGGCGAACAACCAAGACGCATTGAAAGCTGTTATTGAAAAATCTGGGTTATTCCACCAAATATTGATTTCTGAACTCTCCCTAAGTTCAAACATTAGTATTGTGTTGTTTAAAGGTGGGGTAGGTAAGTTTGAGAAACCGGCTTGAGATACACTTTTTGTTATATTCCATGGAATGCTCTTAACATCCCGATAGCAATGAATATCTTAAGTGCTTTGACAAAAAAATCCATAAAGAAATGTCATCTGTGGAAGCTGTAATACTGTAAAAAGCACGACCAATCATTTTAGCCGGCCCGGCTAAAATAACTGGATGGCCTACCTGCCTGTCAGCCTTCCATCTGTGCACAAACTTATCTCGTCCCCTCATTGGTCATGTGCGCGTTTGTGTGTGTTGGAGGAGGGGCTCTGTAAGGAAGTGGCAGATTTTCTCCGGCTGTGTATTTTCAAATTCTAGCGATCTTGAGCTGGTTTCTCCAAAATTACCTACCCCACCTTTAAGTTGGCGTGACGTTGAAGCAGCGACCCTGCTGTAGTTCGTTTATAGCATAACGTTAGCATTTTGCTTCTGGCGATTAGATTTATGATTAGAAAATTATAAAAGTAGGGTAGACCTGTGGAGATTATTTCCGGGTAAAT